TAGATAGATAGATAGATAGATAGATAGATAGATAGATAGATAGATAGATAGATAGATAGATAGATCGATCGATCTCAGGAAGAAATTTAACAATTTCAGAAAGAAAGAGAAAGAGCAGTATTACAGCAGCATCTGTAAAGATATTGAAGATGGAAGCAGATACAGAAAAAAAACAGGAAAGTTTTCCAAAAGGTCCCTGAACTCAAAGGGTGGTTCCAACCTCAAATTGGTATGCTAGAGGATGCCAATGGGCAGACAGTAACTGATTCAGAGAAGATCAAGCAGAGATAGAAGGAATATATATTGATATTCTGTATAGTAGGAATGTCAACATCCATTTTTTTAATTAGAACTTTTATTAAGATATATAAAAAGTACAAATCATATACAAATCAAAAAGAATAGAAAGAAAGAAGATAGAACTAAAAGAAAAAGACAAAAACTAAAATAGTGAGAATAGATAGAAAGATGAAACAGAAAATGACTTCCGACTATCTCCAAAACAGATATGAGTACAAAGTTGAAAAAAGTTAATCTCTTACCACTAATTAATCCAGGAATGTCAACATCCATGATAATTTAGCAGATATTCCCTATTTACAAGAGTCTCTAGTACTAGAAAATGAAGGTAGATCAGCCCTCCAGTCATTACCAAATTGAGAGGCTACAGGAATTGATGGAATATTTACAGAAATATGGCAAGCAACAGAAGAAGATTCAATAGAGGTTCTAGCCAACTATGTCAGTAACTATGGAAAACAATACAGTGGCCAGTAAATCAGAAGAGGTCTACATACCAGTGCCAAAGAAAGGAATGTTAACAAATGGTATAAGCTATCACATTATATCCTTAATTTCACATGCTAGCAAAAAAAAAAAAAATGCTTACCATCATCCAAAACAGATTAGAGCCCTATATGGAATGGGAAGTGCCAGATGTTCAAGCTGATTTTAGAAAAGGCTGGGGAACAAGAGACATTATTGCTAATGCACACTGGATAATTGAGAAAGCCAAAGACTACTAAGAACAAGTCAACGTGTGTTTCATTGACTATAGAAAGGCCTTTGATTGTATTGTTCATGCCAAGCTGGGGAATTTCCTTTGGAAACTGGGAATCCCAGAATAGCTCATTGTCCTCACACAAAATCTGTACATAGGCTAGGAATCCACAACCTGGATGGAACATGGTAAAACAAATTGGCTCCACATCAGCAAAAGAGTGAGACAAGGTTATATGTTTGCTCCTCATTTATCCAAACTATATGAGAAATATATATTGAGGGAAACTGGATTGGAAGAAGATAATTGTTGTTTTAAAATTGGAGGAAAAAAACAACCTGCACTATGCCGATGACACTACTCTGATAGCTGAAAATGCTAATGATCTGTGAGCTCTAGTAATGAAAGTCAAGAAGCACAGACTATGGATAAGGAAGATCAAACTAATTACAGCAGGTACAGCAACCAGCCTTATAACTGACAATGAAAGCGTTGAAGAAGTGGATACCTTCTGCCCTTTAGGACTGACTATCAATAGTAAAGGAACCAGCAGTCAAGAAATATACTGCAAACTAAACGTTGGTAGAGAAGCAATGAAGGTCTTGGAAAAGATATTGAGGTGCTATGATGGGGCTATACCTACAAAGGTAAAATCATGCAGAGAATAGTTTTCCCTGGGACCATCTATGGATCTGAAAGTTGGACTTGAAGAAGCAGGATAGAAAGAATACTGACACTTTTGAACTTCGGTGTTGGAGAAGATTTAAAATTTCATGGATAGGCAAGGAAAACAACAGATGTATCA